GGCGAGAGGAATTATATGTAGACCTCAGATGATCTACCTGAGATCTTCTCAGAAGTCTCTCTGCCAAATGTGACTAAAAACAAACAAGTGTAGCAACGCTGGCCTGAAGCAGATGTGGTTGCCAGGTGCCCTCACTCTCTCCTGAATGAGAGTTTGGATTCACCACCAGGAAATCACTAAGAACACCAGACAGGAAAGCTGAGAAGAGGAATGTAAAATGGTCAGTGGAAGAGGAAGATGAGTACCAGTTGGCCTTGAGACCAACTCCAGTGAACGGAGATGTCATGTATCCCTCTAGCCTCTCTCCTTTAAGTCTGTCTTCAGGAAGAAAGGCACACTGGAACCCTGGACGAGCGACTCCCCAGATGCATATGGAGAAATGGATCTGCAGTATGAGATGAGAGACTGGAGCATCTAATTGTGCACTGCACACATTTTCCATCAGGAAGGAACTTGATGTTTAGCTGTGAGCCTCAGGTAGCTGACAGCCTCCAGCTTCAGTGGATTTGGGATCTGCTACAATGCGTGAGCCAAGGCCACATTCTTCCTGGATATCCCCCATCCCCACAAGTGACAGCACAGTGGAGGTACTAGTGATTGGCCACTTGTGCCCAACACACAACTCTCGAAGGACAGGCTATGCTCTGAAGTTTTGTATGGATTTGGTCAAGACTTTGTGGAGTTTATCATTCTTGGTTTTCTTCCTGATCTTACTTCCTCACTTCCTCCTTTATTTTCTTTCACAGGTGTTATCTACCCTTTTCCTTAAACAAACAATAACAACAAAATGCACAAAAAGCCCAAACCAAAACTCTTGTACTTCTATATCCATCTTAGAGTCTGCTTCCCAGTGGAGCTGAGATGACACATATGTTTTGGCACGCTAGGCTTTTCCTTTTTGGCAACTAACATAACATTAATTGATGCATTAATTACGTAACAATTTCTTTACTTACATTGTCTACTACAACAAACTCTCTGAGAGCAACTGCTAGATCTCTTTTTTCACAATTGTATTCCCAGGGCCTAGTATAGGGCCAACTACTCAGTAAATCTTCCCAACCCCTGGAGAGCTGTACCTATATTTGTATTTGGCCATCCTGAGCATACTATTCCAATTTGTGCCAGGTGTGGGATGTGCACTGGATGTGCGCAGAAGGGCTTCCACAAGGCTCACTCATTGCATTTGACAGCCCAGATCATTTCTGCTAAGTCAGTGGTTCTCAAATGTTAGCCTGCATCGGAACCACCTGGAGAGCTTGTTTAAACACAGACAACTGAGTCCTCCTCCCAGAGTTTCTGACTTAGCAGGTCAGAGTGGAACCTGAGAATGTCCATTTTTGACGTTTCCAGATGCTGCTGCTCTTCTGGCCAGGACCACCATTTGTGAATCTCTGCCTTAGGCTCCTGGCCTCTACTTACTAGCAGATGAACCCAGCCTCTTTCTGAGTTGCCTTCACGTGCTCTTGCTCTTTCACCAATCTTATCAATGCTCACACGCCCCAAGCACTGCCCACTTGTTTGCCTTTTCCTTAGGCAACCTCAGCCTCAAGCAGAGCTTTTTTTTTTCCCCGGGCCCCCCCACACCCCCCACGAGTGACTGTATCTCATATTCTTGTCTTAAGCCCATGCTTTGCTCTTCAGTTCAGGGTCAAAATTCCATCTACTAGTTAAAAAAAAGAAAAAGAAAAAAGCTGCATTGTGTATAGGGGGATCCTGGTTTACAGTAACAGCAGCAAGAAAAACGGATGACAACCACTTTGAACCTCAGTTTTCTCATTTGTAAAAATGAGAACAAGAATACTTATCCATAAAGAATTGTCATTAAGGTCAAATAAGCAAATGAATATAGGGCCAGAAATTATAGCTGAGGACATGTAAGATATTAAGCAGTGGATAGAGCTGGAGGCCGTTATTCTAAGTGAAGTAACTCACTTATTTGAAATATTGTATGTTCTCAGTTGTAAGTGGGAGCCAAGCTATGGGCACACAAAGGTATACAGAGTGGTAGAATGGACACTGGAGACTCAGGAGTGGGTGAGGAGACGGGAAGGAGGGATGAAAAGAAACTACATATTGGGTACAATGTATACTACTTGGGGGACTGTTACACTAACATCTCAGATTTCACCACTATGCAATTCATTCATGTAATAATAAACCACTTTCACACTACAAGCTATTGAAATAGAAAATATTTTAAAAAATAAAAATATGTTAAGTGATGTCCACAACAGGCAAATGATCAAATGTGTGCCAGTTATACTTGGGGGGGATGAAGGGAAACATGTTTAATTGCATAGGATTTTTTAAATAGCTCTATTTTCTAAAATGTATCTTTCCTTAGTACCCTTCCCCTACAAAAGAGACTATAAATTTAGAATCTTCTGTTTAAAGTTCTGCAAAAATGGTATTTTTTCCTCTCCAGAAAAAAAACAGAAACGCTATTTCAAAATCAAAATCTCCTTATTTTCCTGGAATAGAATGAGGCAAGTATTTAGTACTTTATATCTGTTATTAGATACTATATGTTTATTTCACTATTTATATCAAACCTAGAAAGTTCAGAAAAAACTGCTGAAGCTATCATGAATGTAAATTTAATTTCTTCATAAAACCCAGAAGACATAGCAAACTCAATATCCTACAACAAATACATCTAGAAAATAAGTTCTTTATCAAAATGCATTCTTGCTTCCTTCAAGCATGGTATAAAGTGGTAATAAGCTTATCACAGGGGAAAACAACTATTTTTGAGCCATTAACATCTAACAGTTCCAGAATGCAACAATTGTTACCAACTTGTGACAATTCCATTATATACATGGCTAAAAAGTTTTCCTGGGAGAGTGTACAAAATATATTACCAAACCTAACAAAAGTAAGCCATATAATAAAAAATGACTGAATAAAAACACAGAAACAAAACAAAAAATGACACACACACAAAAGAAGAAAAAAAGAGAAATCCTTTCTAAATAGGGAAAACATTTAATAAATTCCTTGAAGACAAGAGTTGGCTCTTAGAATGCATGCCTACCATACAATCAACCCTGTGTATTGCTATTACCATTTTTTGCCTCAGTAACAGTGGACTACTCCAGCTAAAAGACCACAGGTAACCTTTGCAGCTGACCTGTGAAACAAAGATTTCCAATTTCAGCTGTCACTTTCATAGAGTAGCACAATTAAAACAACAGAAACGCTTACATTTAATTTCCTGAACATCAGATATAATGCTACAAATGGGTGGGAAATGCAAACTTGGAAAAACAAATAAGTTAATAAGGACATGAATGACTGTACTCAATACCAAAGATGATACTACCATTTTACAGAGGAAGAAATTAAAATTGAGAGAGGTTAACAATTGTGCCCAAGGCCACACAGCTACTAAGCAAACCAGATCTATGCTCAAAGCCCATGCAGGACTGTAACCACTGTACCCCACTTCCTTCTTAGCTTTATACTAAGCTGTGCCATTTGCCCCGGGGCTGGCTTAAAGGCCAGCCACACTCCCTACACTTCATCGCTAATAACATTTAGGATTACAGTTCCTCTTATGCCCTATAAATAAAACAAGAACAGATCTTTTTCTCTAACATCTGCACTAAAGCTGTGGAACAATATGCCGTTATACTTGAAAGGAATATACATAAAGCCTGACTGAAGGTCTGAGGTAAGCTTCTAAACACCAAAGTGTGATTATAACCTAATGGGGGTCCTTCCTGAACTTCACTGAAGCACTGTGATCCACTGAGTCATTCTAAAACAGTCTTAGAGAATGAATGGCTGCAAGCATGACAGACAAGTTCTATATGTTAAGCAAAAAGTTGACCTAATTTAATGGTTCATAATTTTAAAAGTTGTGTTGATTGCAAATTCAATTATTTTATTTTATTTATTTATTTTGTTTTGAGAGACAAGGTCTTGCTCTGTCTCCTTGGCTGGAGTGCAGTGGTGCGATCATGGCTCACTGCAGCCTCGACCTTCTGGGCTCAAGTGATCCTCCTGCCTCAACTTCCTAAGTAGCTGGGACTACAGGAGTGCAACACCACGTCCAGCTATTTTTTGTAGTTTTTATAGAGATGGGGTTTCACCATGTTTCCCAGGCTGGCCTTGAACTCCTAGTCTCAAGTGATCTTCCTGCCTCAGCTTCCCAAAGTCTTGGGACTATAGGCATGAGCCACCGTACTTGGCCACAAATTCTTTTTATTCATTTTTTTTTTTTGAGATGGAGTCTTGCTCTGTCACCCAGGCTGGAGTACAGTGGCACAATCTGGGCTCACTGCAACCTATGCCGGGTTCAAGCAATTCTTCTGCCTCTGCCTCCTGACTAGCTGGGACTACAGGCACACACCACCATGCCTGGCTAATTTTTGTACTTTTAGTAGAGATGGGGTGTCGCCATTTTGGCCAGGTTGGTCTCGAACTCCTGACCTTGTGATTCACCTGCCTCGGCCTCCCAAAGTGCTGAGATTACAGGCATGAGCCACCATACCCGGCCACAAATTCATTTTTAAAAACTCACCAATTCTTTTTAATTTGGGACAGACATTGATTATCAATATGAAACATGCCCTTTTCTAAGTATTTATTTTCTGAAAAAAAAATATATATTTAAATATCTGAGGCAGAAATTAATGGAAAATTTCAAGATACATGTGACAACCTTTAGATCCCAAAGGCATTTGTTCACTTGTTTGATAATTGTAATGCAATTCATTTGCTGTATGAAATGAAACAGTTTTTGAGTAAGAGTCATCTAAGCTGTGGGAGTAACAGAATTATTTCTCAGCTCTATCAACACAGAGATTTCACAAACTGAAGCCCTGTTGTCCATCAAGGCAGCCACACAGCACCACAGTGGTTTCTGTGGTTGGACCTCTTCTCTCCCATTAGAGGCAACTGGCAGAACTGGGAGTCTGGCATTTCAGAACAGAATAGGATATAGGTTTCTCCCATCCTCCTGCAGTAGACTTTAAAAAAAAAGCCCTTACCAGGAAGTTCCAGTTAGCTTCAATTTGAGTCACCATGCCGGAGAGGAACATGCCCAGAAAGAGAAGCGAAAAGAAAAACGCCGTCACGGACACAAACATGACCCATCCTTGTAGCAGAGGTAGAGGAACATTGGAGGAGGCAACCAAAATCCAGACGAGACCCCCGAACAGCTGAAAGAAAAAAAGAAAGAGGGTAATTGGTTTGCTTAAAAGATACCTTCCATACAACAGAATTCAACATGCTTGTATTACCCTCAGTGTTGCCTTCATTTTCCTCCCAGACTCCTGCACATATTCCAGCAACCCCACCCCTTCGATTTTCTCCTTATCATGCAAGATGCCTTCTTTCCTCAGGTGCAAGACCAATCCTTTGGCTTGCAGAACTGATCCATCTCCACACCTGTATCTTCAAGATGGACTCTCTTCTTCAACCCATGTACATGCCCAGCATTCCTTCATCATTGACAAATACCTTCCTTTGACTTTATCGATTCTCTGACTACCACCTTTTCAATGAAGGTATTTTTTCAGTCAACCACACAGTAAGGGGAACATCACACACCAGGGCCTGTTGTGGGGTGGGGGTAGTGGGGAGGGATAGCATTAGGAGATATACCTAATGTAAATGACGAGTTAATGGGTGCAGCACACCAACATGGCACATGTATACATATGTAACAAACCTGCACGTTGTGCACATGTACAATAGAACATAAAGCATAAAAAAAAAACAAAAAAAAAAGAAAATCATTGTCTACCCCAAGGCCATGAAGATACTCTGTTAGGTGTTTCTTCTAAAACCTTCATTATTTTTACTTTTCACATTTAAATCTACAACCTTATACTGATTTTGCATTTGGTATGAGGTAGGGGGTCAAGATTCAGTTTTTCCCCATATGTATATTCAATTGACCCAGTGTCATTTACTGAAATGACCATACTTTCAAGAGTCTACTGTTGTCAATCAGGAGACCATATGCTGTGGGTTTGGTTCTGTTCCATTCTGTTCCACTGGGCTATCATTATGACAAAATATTGCACTGTCTTTAGACTAATCCCCTAAGCACCTGACATTTTAAAAAATCAGTAAATAGCATCATTTAAAAACTTCATGTTCTATTTGTCATGAGAATATAAATAAAATATATATTTACTGATCTTAAAAAAAATCATCTTTGCCTGGTCTCCACTTCCTCTCCCTGAAGTTGCTCTTCATATCACTATAAACCAGCTCCTGATCTCATTGCTCCTTAGAGAGTTTGTTAGTAAAAGATGGCTAGAATAATAGTTGCAGCTGTTGTATATGGTGGTAAACAATAAAAACTACCATCATTTATTGAGTATCTATTATGTATTGGACAGAGGAATAAGTACTTCACATATCTGTAGATCTAAGTATCAATAAATACCTATTACATTTCAGGCTTTATGCCAGGTGCTGGGAATCAAATGGTAAACAGGTTACACTTGGTTTCTGTCACCACAGAACTCACAGTCTATTAAAGAGACAAGTAAGTAAGTGATTAAAAAGCTGCTTCATAAATGTCACAATTGGGCAAATACTGGGCACTGCAGGTCCACACACCAAGGGCTCTAAATCCAGATTTGAAAATGCTTCCTAGAAGGAACGATTCAAAGCACAGGGATATGGGGTAAAGCAGAGGGAGGAAAGGGAGGTTCCAGGACGGGAGCTGAGAAGAGCCCCGCACAGGTGAAGAACAAAGCTCAGCAAGACAGGAGGGTCATGCGCTGGTGGGGAATGGAGAGAACTGCACGGGAGACTGAGTGAGGAGGTGCTGAAGCTCGGGCCAAGGAACCGAACTTCACCTAAGGGCGACGGCAAAGCCAAGATCATCTTGAGCAGAAACTAGCATGGTCAAGATTTGCCTTTGGAAATTTTTCTCTGGCTAGAATGTGAGAACAGACTGGAGAAGAAAGGGTAGATGGCGGGGGAGCACATCTCTGTGTTTCTCTAGCTCTATCAACACAGAGATTTCACTAACATGGTGTAACACAGGAGACTGTTACACCAACAGAGTGTAAGAATCAGAACACTGAGGACAGAGAGAAAGGAATAGATTAGAGTGAAATTTAGAAGTAGACATGATAATAGTTGGTAACAGATCAGATGTGAGACACGACAGAAAAAGGACAGATAAGGAAAATCCTCAGATTTCTGGCATGGGCCACTAGGCTTGAGAGAACACTGCAGGAGAAATGGTGTGAAGACAATGAGTTTTATGCATCCATCACCATTGGTCTCCTCCATACTACCATGCATTCTTTGCATGGCATTCCAAGCCATTTGTGACCTGACATGTCTTTTTCATCCTTGTCTCTTGCCACTATGCTCCTCACATTTTGTATTAGGGTGAGAAAAAAAATCCACAGTTCCAAGACAAAGATCTTTCACATCAGAGTGGCCTGTTACTTGCATGCCGTAAATGTCATTTCCTCCCTATGTGTACTTGAGATTCTCCCACTCATATCTAATCTTGAGCACATCATTTACAACATTTTTCCTGAGATCCACCCCTGCTCAGTTATGCCTCCCTCCTCTGGGCAACCTCCCTATTGGGCTTTGTTACATCAGTGAGATACACTGTAATTAAATCCCTTTGGCTCTCCATCTGCACTACCAGGCCTTCTTGGCAGCATACTGCTTTATATGTCTCTGCATCCCAAGTCATTTATTAATCTACACAATAATCCTTTCCTAACCATCAGTCAGGTACTATGCTAGATCTGGCAGCACAAAACCTTAGGCTACATACCTGCCCTGAAGACACCTCAAGCGAGAATCAATCTCTCTCTCTCTCTCTCTCACACACACACACACCCAGAGAGAGTGAGAGATAGAGCACGCGCTCAATTATTTGCTTAGTAAACAAGTTAGTGCTCATATGAGAACCGTTTGAGCTCCAAATATTAAAAATCAATACTCATCTTTACATTGCATTTAAGTATCTAGATATCCAAATTACTCCACAAGTCACTGAAAGTTAAAAACACAAGTTTTTAATTATATAATTATATAATTTGTTACTACTTTGAAGAAACATTTTTGAAAGCATAAATGATCACTTGAGCAATGGTAAATCACCAGTCTAAAAAAATGTATAGTTGTGGTGTGTACCTCGAGTCCTAATGTCAAATCAAAAATTAACAATTGATGCAGAAAGTGTTATGAAATAAATCTAATGAATATCAATGCATCTTAAAAATTTAACCACCACCTTATCAGTGCCTATAAAAGAAACAAACTTGTTCCTGATAAAATATTATTTACCTTTACATACTATTAAATAAATAACTGAAGGTGATAAGAATGTCTTCAGTGGATCAATCTTTCCTTTTTTTCCACTTTCTTCTTTCTGGTAGCCTTTTCTTACTCTCCCACAAAGAATAATCTACATAACTTTAAATACAGTTTAAGAAATATACATCATTATTAAATATCTCTTCGGAGTTATTTCCTGAGAACCTATGTGCAAATACAAAGGATAATAAAAAGCAATTGGCCACTGTTTGTTAGGGACAGGCAGAGCCAAACAGATAAACATAATAATATGAGTTAGGGATTATGATACATTCACACCTGTAAGGAGCAGGCTGTATGATCCTTTGGAATTAAACACAGCATTTACTCAACCCAGAGTGGACCTCAAACAGACCAGCCCCGAACCTACTGCTAGGCACTGTAGAAGAACACTCAAGAAAAAACAAAAAAGGCAAGGTTCCATCTCCAGGAGCTCGAAATAAGGAAGAAACAGACACCATTAAACTGATTCAGGAGCAGATTGTAGTGGGTGCTATAAAAAGAGCTCAACACAGTGTGCTCTGAGAGGCTGGGAGAGGAGAGAAGAAATATAATGGGAAGAATCTGGAAAGGTAGGCAGGGGAGGCAGCTTCAGAGTAAGCTTTCAAGACAGACCAAGACTTTGACAGCAGAGGTTATGCTGTAAAGCAGTATAGATTAACTGTTCTTATCGTGCTCAGAATTATAGCCCTTCAAACATCTCAAAGGCTTGGAAGGGAAACTAAGCGCTGCATGAACAGGAGTCAGATTTGCCTCCTCACTTGTGGGGTATGTGCTGCATGGAAAGTGGAGAGGGAAGGAGTGTATGAATGTCCCCTCTCTTTCACTCATGTAAATACATATGATACATCCCTAGAGCTGAGATTCTGTGAAATCTAGGCTCACTTTAGAAGACAGAGGATGGACCAAAGAACATAACTGAGCCCACTTTGGAGGGCCACCATCCTCATTTTGAGATTGTCATACTGCTGTATGGGTCACTCTGGCCTTGACATAGTTATTATTCCCTACTTTGTGATTTCCTTTTGACAAAAGCTACTTTTCTTCTTGAGCTTCCCAACTTGGTTCCAACTTAAAAAACTGAACTTAAAAACTTGACAGGACCAACGCTCAGTATATTCACTTCACCTAATTCTGGGCACTAGTGAGCTTAGAGTGTTTGCAAATCAGTGTAATTATCAGCATTCCTGTTTAGCAGAGATGACTCCGGAGGTGGTCATATTTTTAGAGGTAAAAAGCAGAACACAAAAATGGTTAAATCTGACAGAGAACAGATGATAAATACCGTAGCAACTGCAGAGTACACACTGTGAAGAAAGGTATTTGGAACTATTATATGTTTCGCCCACATTCTCATCATCTTGGATCTGAATCCACATTCTGACCCCTTCTCTACTACTGCCTTCCACTGCTTTCTAGTGTTCTAAAAAATCCAATAATTCTGTATAAAATAGCCAAATGCACCTCAATTTGAAATTTCTTTAAGAAACCAAGTCAGTGCTTATGACTTCAAACCTCGAGCTCGAACAAAGACTACCTTTGCTTCCAGGCAATACAAAGGTAAAAACCTCCTAGGAGTAGGTATCAGCCTTTCCCGGCAACTCGGTTGCCTTTTATCTTCTTAACCCAACTTTAGGTGTACTGGGTACATACCAGAAGTACTCAAATATATTCTGAGTTGCAGTTATTAAATTGCTACACATTCCTAAAACAACTGATCTTCTTTCTGGTTTAACATACATTTGTTACGTGTGCTTGGCCTCTGCAGACCAGAAAGGTATGACTTGGCTGAATCCCACCCATAAGAAAACCACAGAAGTACTTATCCGCCAATCACACTAAACTGAACCCT